TCTTGCTCCACAGGCTGGAGCTCACGTTTGTGAAGATCGACTCCTGGGACTACGAGAGCGCCTCGCTGTACCTCGACGGCCGGCAGGCGTGGACGCGGGAGTTCGGCCCGTGGGAGGGAGAGAACGCGTGCGGCCATCCGTCCTTCGACGAGGTGTGTGCTGCCCAGGCCTCCGCGGCGCAGCCTCCCGACGCGCCCGCGCCAGCCGACGGACTCCGTCCTGTGCATACCCACCCACCCCTCCCCGTCCCCCCCCCCCCCCGTGCGACCCGCGCGCATCCCACGCGTGTGCCTCTGTCGCAGGTTGCCGTTGAGATCGACGTGACGATCCCGCACGAGGAGCCCTCCCTCACCGTCCTGCTCAACACCACCCTCTCGCACGGAGCACGCAAAGGCGCCCACCCCCACCCCACCCCCACCCCACCCACCCACCCACACCTCCGACCCTGCTCCGAGCTGCCCGCCCTCTCGGGGGCACGACCCTCGGCTCAGGCGACGAGTCGTGGGGCATCAAGGATGTGCGGCTGAGCTTGCGGCACTTCTCCCCCCCCACGCCGCCGCCACCCTCACTGCCTCCCTTGCCGCCGCCGCCCTTGCCGCCGCCGCCGCCTCCGCCGCCCTCACCGCCCTCACCGCCGTTGCCGCCGCCGCCCTTGTCGCCGCCGCCTCCTCCTCCACCGCCCTCCCCCCCTCCGCCTTCCCCACCGCCTCCCTCACCACCGCCGCCCTCATTTCCGCCGTCGCTGCCGCCTGCGCCCCCAAACACGCCGCCGCCCTCGCCTCCGCCGCCGCCGCCGCCGCCGCTCTCCCCGCCGCACCCGCCAGTGCCGCCGCTTGCCCCTGGCCACTACATGGCCCTGGCGGTCGACGGCTGCCCCAAATCCACCGACCACACGAATCATCGCGCGATGTGCTTGCGTGCAGAGGAGGGGATGAACGCGCGCCACGCCGCGATCCAGTGCTGCCACTACGGAGGGGGCTGCGCGGGCTCCGTCTGCTACCCCCCCCCGGGGGCGTTGCACGGCACGCACGGCTCGCGCATGCCGGTGACGGACGTCCACAACCCGGGCGCTGCGACGCTGCGCCACGCGGCGCTCGAGTGCGGCACGCGCGGCGCGCGACTCTGCACCGCGCACGAGCTCTACATGGGGACCTGCTGCGGCGGCGGCTGCGGCTACGACTCGCTCTTTGCTTGGTCCCGCGCCATGCAGCCCCCTACTGCGCACGGGTGCTCTCCCCCCCCCATGACTTGCCGCGTTTCACTGCTCCTGATAGGTCTTCGACGTCCTGCACCGACCCGCCGCCCGCGCCGCCTCCCTTGCCCCCCCCGCCACCGCCTTCGCCGCATGCACCGCCGCCGCCCCGGCCACCGCCGCCGGCGCCACCCGCACCGCCTCCGCACAGACCGCCCGCGCCGCCGCTACCGCCTCCTGGCCCTCCCTCACCGCCGCCGCGGCCGCCACCGCCGTTCCCACACCCGCCGCCGCAACCGCCTGCATCGCCGCCGCCGGGCACTCTTGAGGACTACCTCACGGTGCGCAAGCCAGCGCCCGCGCTACGCTCCACGTGTCGCCGCGCCGCACTCACGTCTCGAGTCCCCCCCCCCCCCCTCCCCTCTTCCCTCCCCCGACACACACACACACACACACACACACACACACACACACACACACACACAGCATACCCAAACACACTCGCCGCAGGTGCTCGGCGTCGGCGGCGTCTTCCTGATGTCCGTGCTTGGCTACTCGTGCTTTTGCCTGCGCCAGGCCCACCCCCTGTCCCCCGCCGTACCCGCCCGAGCACGCGCCTCTTCCGCCTCCGCCCTCACCTCCGCCCTCTCCCTACCGCCCTCACCGCCGCCCTACCCTCCCGGCACGGCCCCAACCCCGCCCCCCCTCTCCCCCGCCGCACCCACCCGAGCACGCGCCTCTTCCGCCTCGTCGCTCAGTTTGACGTGGGCGTCTTTATGCGGATGCGGCTGCGAGACGAGAGCGACGACATGCGGGGCTCCACGCACGCGGAGAAGCTGCCGCCCGCTCGGTCGGCGCACTCTGCGCACGTGCGGCTCGACGAGGACGAGCCGGTGGAGCTGGTGGAGGAGCCGCCCGAGGAGCCGCCGAGGAAGCAACCTCAGGCGCCACCGCGGGCGAGGAAGCCTCCCGCCCCCTCGGTGCCCGAGCCCGCGGCTAGGTTCAACCCACGACAGCGGGCGGCGCGGGCGCCTCCCGCCCCCTCGGTGCCCGAGCCCGCGGCTAGGCTCAACCCACGACAGCGGGCGGCGCGGGCGCAGGCCCAGCAGGTGTCGCGATCGCATCACCTGCAGGCGGGCGTCGTGCTCGATGACGATAGGGATGAGGACCAAGACTGGGAGGACATGGCGACTGGCTCGACAACGCCGTCGCCGCCCTTCTCCCGATCGCCGGCGCGGGCCGAACGAGCGCACTCCCCGGTGTTCGAGTTTTAGCGGGCATTGTATCTCTGTGCCAGCGCGGGGAGGCCACTGTGGGGCGTGCGAGGGCGGCAACGCCGCAACGCGCCTCGGTGGGCTCTACCGGGTGACACATCTGACAGAGACATCGTGAGTGATGGAGAGCGCGCACTCACTTGGTGTATTGTGTATACGATTGGATGTTGGATGTGAAGCCTCTTTCCACCACACTTCACCTCGGCAAGCAGGGTCATGTGACTCATGTTGAGAGAAGATTGAACGAGAGATAACCAACGCCAACGCTGCGATTAATCATCTGTGAGCTCGACTACGTCTAGCTCGGCAGCCTTGCGGCTATGGGCTGCTACACCTAGTCCTGTTCCACCCCTCAGCAGGCCAAAACGATGCTGCATGCCGATCCAAGCCCCCTCGGCCTTCTCAACCTCGGGCGACTCTGCCGCGGGTGCGGCCGGCTCGACCCGTCTACCGCCTTTTCGCGCCAGGCAGCACTGGGCACAAGAAAGCAGCAAGGTTGTGAACGGCACTCTCTGCATTCCCCTGCTTTGCGGTTGTGCGCCCATGCCGCGCAAGACATGGCGCAAGCTGACCTTGCGGTGCTGCTGCGACGGGTACAGCGGCACGGCGAGCGTGTCGAAGAGCTTGTACGGTGGCTGCTGCAGCACCTGAGGTGTTTGCTGGAAAAATTGCCTGAAGGCAACGCCGCCGCTGGCAGGGTCCTGCTCGGCGACGGGAGCGATGGCGATCCGCCGGTCCATTGCCGTTTGCACGATGCGCGCGACGGTGCCGGACGGGTCAAGAAAGGTCTTCTCGTTCAGGTAAAGTAGCAATACGGCGCGCCCCTGGAGCGGTGCGGGTGCGTTGGCTTCCTTGAGCACCTCTGAAGCCTCGCGGATCACAACCACGTCCGGAGAGTCCGGTGCGGCCGTGGTCGAGCTATGCCCCTCCGCCGCTGCCGCCTTCACCTCCGTCGCCACGTCATGCGCGCCCTCGTTCTCGCGACATACCAGGATGGTGACGAGACCAGTAAACCCGTGCGATCCGATTTCGCCTGGCACCGTGACGCCCGACGCGAGCTCGTTGAGATGCAGCGAATAGTACGGACTTTGGCGCAGCATGCGCAGCGCAACCTCCTTGAGCGACTCGAGCTGAAAGTCGTGCACTCGCACCCACACGATCGGCTCCGCCTCTTCGAAGACGCGCGTGAGCACCTCGCCCGGCCCGCTGTAGGAAGGATAGGCAGGCGGGGCAACCTCGACGCAGCTATCGCGGCATTCGTCCCGCAGTGCCGCCAGCGAGGCGCCGCCCTTGGCCGTATCTGCCTCGTGCACGACAATAAATGGCCGGACCGAGGCGAGCGCCGCGTAGAGCTCGCGGCGGCAGTTCCAGCTCCGGAAGTAGCCAGAGCTCAGGAAGATTATGAAGGTTGCCGAGTCGGCGACCGACTCCTCGAGCTTTCCCACGTCGTCTAGATTGTCGACGTCGAGCCAGATCCTCACGCCGGGCAGCAGAAGCTGTAGTCGCCGCACGACGGTGTGCGTCTGGTCCTGGCCAGTTCCCCACGCGTGAGAGATGAAGGCGTGGAAGTGGCAAGCGGCAGGCAGCTCGAGGATTGGAGCGCGGCCGGTGGAGACGAGGCGGAGCGTCGGTACGCGGACGGCGGTGGCGGTCTTGAAGAAGACGATCAGCAGCGACGCGACGAGCATCGCGACGGTTAGGACGACGACAAACTCGCTCGCTCTGCGTCCGCTTTGGATGCCAACGAGTTGGTAGCACAGGTCGTTGTCGTCGCCGCAGAGCTGAATCACGGCGCCAAGACAGAAGCAGCACGTGAGAAGCAGATTGGCAACGCACGCAAGGTGGAGGTCGTCGGATCGCTTGAACGGGCGGGCGAGGGCGAGGGCGGCGAGAAAGAGGGCCGAGACGACAGTGGCGACAACGAGGCGAAGCAGCTTACTCGAGCCGTACTCCTGATCAATGAAAAGCACGAGCGAAGCCAAGAAGAGCTTACGCACGAGGTCAAACACCTAAATCGAGAGGCGTGTAAGGAGTCACGGGTGTCCGGCACGTTGGGCACAGCATGCCGCTACCTCCCAGAAGATGAAGTCCGCGTCGTAGTCGCGCCAGAGAAAACGGCAGGCGTTGGCGAGAGGGCTTATGCGTTGCGCTCGCACCGCGGGGCGAAGCGAGAGCAGCAGCACGAGGAAGGTGAGGGGAACGAGCACCGGCCAGAGCACAAAGAAGGACCAGAAGATGAGGTCAAGTTCACGGTACTTGTCGTCGTCGGCGCTGCACAGCACGTCGAGGTCGGCCATGAGGTAGGAGCGCCGCGTTTCATCAAGGACGTTGATACTGAATGACTCGCACTTGCGCGCCTTGAAGATGGAGCGAGAGACGGAGGGAAGCACGAGGTAGGCGACGAGGATGGCCCAGTAGAGCACGCGGCCCAGCGTTGCCCGACCGAGGTCGCTCCGGAGGTGACCGGCGCGATCCGACAAGAGCCATACCGCGACCGTGTGGGAAGCGAGAGCGATGGCGCCGAGCAGGATGACAAGGATCGGCCACAGGGCGCTCAGCAAAATCCGTGCACGCATCGAGCCAATGCACGAGTCTGGGTAGGTGAGGCCGAGCACATCGAGGCTGAATGCGTCGAGAATGTCGGTCCAGCGCGTAAGGCTCTCGTGGAGGCGCACGCCATACACGGGCCCGAGCGTCGCACCAATCTGGTAAAAGCTAAGGAGGACCTTGAGCTTGGGCTGAAAGCCAACGCTCAACTCGATGTACTTCAGGCGGTGCGCGGCGCGAGCCCCAAGGCGACCGCACGCGGCAATGCGGGTGAGCGCAAGATAGAAAAGGACGCCTGTCGCTGCAGCAGCAAATAAGACTCCGAAAAGAATGACCAACCGCACGCCCGCCGCCGGGCAGTCGACACAGCCTCGCTGCACATGATCAAAGTACTGCAACTCGCTCATGATGCACCACTCGCAGCGCGGGCCGGTGTGGCTCGCGTTGCACCCGTCCCCGTGGCGTGTCTCCACCCCCTCCACATTGGCCCAACTGCCGTCGAATAGGGGATCGCCAGAGCCATGCTCCTCCTCCCCAGAGCCCAAATCACCGGAGGCGCCAGAAGCGGCGAGGAGGCGGCGGGAGCGTTCCGCCACGGCAGTACCGCCCGAACCGCTGCAGTGAGCCGAAGCGACGCACTTGTGGAGCTCTGTGGTCAGCTTCGAGGCGCGCCAGAAGCCGGGCGGGACGCCTAGGGTCTCGAGGGTTGTGCCTGGCGCGCTGCAGTCGGCATGCGGTGGGCAGAGCTTGCAGTGCTTGGTCGGGAAGGCGAAGATGTCGACCGGATCTTCGCTCCCCAACAGATAGTAGTCGGCCTTGCAAACCGCGCAAGTGACGCTGCCACGCTCGGCACTGAGCGGGTGCGGACAGGGAATGCACTGCGATAGGCCCTTGCTCACCGAGTAGGTGCCCTCCCCGCACTCCTCGCAAGCGGTGCGCGAGGCTGCGTAGCGGCCAGCCGGACAAAGTTCACACGCGGACATGTTGGCCGACGAGGCGATGCTGCCGGGAGCGCATTCGGCTGGCTGCGCGGCGCCGCCGGCACAATAGCTGCCGGGCACGCAACCAGCACAGTCGTTCAGGCTCTCAAGCGTCGCGGATATGTTGGTGTTGTACGTGCCCGCCGGGCAGCTCGCCGGCAGCTGAGCGCTGCTCCCTTCTGGGCAGAAGAAGCCGGGCGAACAGGCGAGGCAGCTCGCAGCACCGGACGAGGGCTGGTATGTGCCGACGTCGCAAGGGGTACACACGCCCTTGCCCCGCTCTGCTGCGGTGCCCGGCGCGCACTCTGCCGGTGCCGCGCCGCCACCGGCGCAAGACGAGCCTGCCGGACATGCGAAGCAGTCGGGCTCGCCGCTCGTGTCTGTCATGTCGGCGTAGGTGCCTGGCGCACACGTGGCATCCAGCTCGCGTGAAGCGCCCTCGGGACAGAATCTGCCCGCCTGGCATCGTGTGCACGTCTCGCTGGCGGGCTGGTCCTGGTAGGAGCCAGCTGCACAGAGCTTGCACTTCTCGTTGCGGAGGCCGAACGCGACACTGCCAGCGTGGCACGGCACCGGCTCGACGCTGCCAGTGCTACATGCATGGCCCGCTGGGCAGTCTGTGCACTCGCTCGCGGCTGCGAGGCTCGAACGGCGGGAGTGAGTACCCGCCTCACACGGCAACGGCGCCGACGCGCCCTTGGCGCAGTAGTGTCCCTGCTCGCAGTCGTGGCACTCTGTGGCTCCTGTTGCGGCCTGGTACTTCCCAGCGGGGCAGTCCTCACACATGATTGATCCAAGCGCACCGCCAAACGTCCCAGCCCGGCAACTCGTGCACGTGTGTCTGCTACGTGCTCCTGTAGCCGCGCTGAATGTGCCACGTGGGCACTGCTGACAGGCTTCGGGCAAGCTCTTCCCGTCCTGCTCGTTGTAGGTCCCCGCTGGGCACGGCGTGAAGCCGCCGCCGCACCCTTCGGCATCATTGCAATATCCACCCGCTTCACACCTGTCGCATGACACGCGTCCGCGCTCCGGCTGGAATCGGCCGGGGGGGCACGGGCTGCACTCGGTTTGGCCCGTCGCACTTTGATATCGGCCGGCAGGACACTCGAGGGCTCGCACAGTACTTTGACTCGGGCAGAAGCTACCCGCGGGACAGGCAGTGCAGCCAATCGCGTTGAGCTGGTCGGAGAATGTGCCAGCAGGACAATCGTTGCAGCTGTCCGCGCCAGCACTCGACTGGCTGGACCCTGGAGAGCACGGGATGCACGATTCGGCACTTGCCGCGCCCGTCGCGGGCATGTAGTAGCCTAGTGCGCAGGGCGTCGGAACAGCCGAACCCTCCAGACAAAAGTGGCCGACCGGACACGGACCGCCACACGTGGGGTTGGTGTGGGAGGTGAGGGTCCCAACTGAGCCTGCCGCGCAGCGGTATCCACAGCCCTCAAAATCACCAGGAACGTCTCCAATCGTTGGCGACCAATTGCCAAGGTTGCACTCCCAGCTGATGGCCGCGGCAGAGAAAACGGTGCTGTTGCCCGCGTTGCCCTCAAAGCGCGCGTTACGAAGTGTTGACACCGCGTCAAAGGTGGGCCCAGACTCGTACGAGATTGCAGCACCGTCTGTGGCGGCGTTGTCGAGAAAGGCGGCGCCTTGGAGGTCAAAAGTGGCGTTGCGAACAAAGAGCCCACCTCCCGACGCCGAGGCGGTGGCCATGCACGCCGTGATGTTGGAATTGGCGAGGGAGAGGGTGCCCACCCGCAGGGAGAGCCCGCCGCCTCTCGCTCTCTGGTTTCCCGCGGTGCAACGCGCGATGGTGACGGATGTCAGCTCGATTGCAGGCGGGAACTGAAGGTAGAGGTGGGTGACTGGCCAAACGCGCAGCGCATTGTCGCCACCAACCGTAGCGAGGCGGGCGCTGTCGGGCGAGAAGGCGACTGAGGTGATATAGTTGCTGTGTGGGTTGAGTTTCTCCAGCAGGTGCGACGACAAGTCCCAGGAGTTCCACACACGCAACACTCTGAGGCCTCCGTCGACGCCGCCAGAGCTGACCGTGGCCAAACGTGTCCCGTCAGGCGAGAAGGTGACTGCGCTGATGCTGCTGCTGTGCGCATTCGGCCTCTCCAGCAGGGGCGTCAGGCCCGAGACGGCGTCCCATACACGCAGCGCAGAGTCGCCGCCGACAGTGGCCAAACGTGTCCCGTCAGGCGAGAAAGTAACTGCGCTGACGCCACCGAAGTAACTGCTGTGCGCATTCAGCCTCTCCAGCAGGGGCGGAGTTAGGCCCGAGACGGCGTCCCACACACGCAGCGCAGAGTCACCGCCGGCCGTTGCGATGCGTGTGCCATCAGGCGAGAAGAAGACCGAATTGATAGAGGTACTGTGTGCGCCGATCCTCTCCAGCAACGGCGACGTCAGGTCCGATGCGTCCCACACACGCACAACGCCGTCGCCGCCGATCGTTGCCAGGCGGCTGCCGTCGGGCGAGAAGTCGACCTGGAAGCTGCTGCTGCTGTGTGCGTTCGGCCTCTCCAACGTGGCTGACGACAAGTCCGAGGCGTCCCACACTCTCAGCGCGCCGTCGTCTCCCACTGTGGCAAGGCGCGCGCCGTCGGGTGAGTAGGCGACCCAAGAGATGTCTGAGCTGCCGTGCGCGAAAGACTTCTCCAGCAGGGGCGACAACGACAGGTCCGATGAGTCCCAAACCTGCAACCTTGAATAGGGGGTGCTGCCGACCGTGGCAATTCGGCTGCCGCCAGGGGAGAAAGCGACCGCAGAGATGGTGCCGGTCCAGTCTTGCTGCTTCTCTAGCACTTGCGACGGCACGTCCAACGCTGCGTCCCACACGCGTAGCGCACAATCGGCGCCGATGGTGACAATGCGGGTGCTGTCGGGCGAGAAAGCTGCCGAGGCCGATCCGCCATTGGTTTGAGTGGATCCGCCGTAGGCGTGAGTTCTCTCCAGCAAGGGCGACGACAGGTCAGAGGAGCTCCACACTCGCAGCGCCTGGTCCTCGCCGGAGGTGACGATGCGGATGCCGTCAGGCGAGAATGCGACCGAATAGATGGTGTTGCTATGTGCGTTCTGCTTGTTCAGTAGGGGGCTCAGGTCTGAGGAGTGACATACTCGCAGGGATAAGTCGGAGGAGACCGTGGCGATGCGTGCACTGTCGGGAGACCAAGCGACGGAGTTAATGACATCGCTGTGTGCGGCGGTGCTCTCGACGAGGGGCGACGTCAGGTCCGAAGCGGCATTCCACACGCGCAGCGACCCGAACGCCATCGTATCGAACGATGCCGTCGCGAGGCGAGTGCCGTCGGGAGAGAAGGCGGCTGAGGTGACGGCCCTGTAGTTGTCGTGTGCGTTGAGCCTCTCTAGCAGAGGCGACGTCAGGTCCGAAGCGACGTCCCACACACGCAACGCCCAATCGTTGCCGACCGTGGCGATGCGGCTGCCATCGGGCGAGTAGGCCACCGAGTAGATGTAACTGCTGTGAGCGTTGAGCCTCTCCAGAGGTGTCGACAGGTCCGAAGCGGCGTCCCACAGGCGTAGCGCCCCGTCTACGCCGCCCGTGGCTATGCGGGTGCCATCGGGCGAGAAAGTGACCGAGTAAATGCTGCCGCTGTGTGCGTTAACTTTCTCCAGCAGCGGCGTCGACAGGTCCGAGGCGGCGTCCCACACGCGCAGCGCAGAGTCGCCGCCGACCGTGGCGAGGCGGGTGGCGTCGGGTGAGAACGCAACATACACACGCGCGCAGCTCGAGGCTCCTCCCGTTTGGGGGATATGCGCATCGATCCTTTCAAGCACCAGATCAATCGCGATCTCGTTTGATGCGTCGATGGCGCCACCGTACGCGGTACCGTCGAGCGACACCACACTCGAGTCCTCGATCGAGGACTCAGTCACGAGCAACGACCCGCCGTGGCGCACCTTGACCGCCCCGCCACTCGCCTGCTTGCCACCATCGACAAGGTGCACGTGATCGAGCTCCAGCGTGCCGCCAAAGGCGACATCAAAGTGTCGAGAGCAGCCACTGGCGTTGAGAGATGCGCCGACGCCCGTGCTTCGCAGCGTCACGTGTGCGAGATGCACGCGCAGCTGCGAGCAGGCGGTCCAGGTGAAGAGAGACCCCTCTGGCAGCTCAACGACGAGGGCACCAGGCTTGCCGGATTGGCTGTTGATGAGGTTGCGGAGGCTGGTGAAGTCATTGGCGGCGAAGGTTGGCGGCGGTGCTGACGGTGGCGATGGTGGCAGTGAGGGCGGCGGCAACGGTGGCAGAGAGGGCGGGTGTTGCGGCGGAGACGGCGGTTGTTGCGGCGGCGGCAGAGACGGCGTTTGTAGCGGTGGTGCCGGAGACGGCGGAGGCGCCGGCGGAGAAAGCAAAATGCAGGCGAGTAGTGTCACAGTCGCCATTGCTCGGTGGGGCACATTTTTGGGTGCCACCGCCCCGCGCCGGGAAACGGCGCTAACATGTCCGGCGGGCATTTTCCTTTACCGGTACAATTGTATCTCTCTTTCACGGATTGCGGAAGGGGGCGTGGCAAGAGGGCGCAGAGGCGGCCCAAGTCTCGTCGAGCAGTCTCTCCCGCCTGCGCACCACCCAGTAACGAGGTTCGCGGGGCGAGAGTGACGCACGCTCTTCCCGCCCGACCTCGCACAAGCACCAGACCTCAACGATGTCTACTGCTTGACATCCACAACCATTCGCTTGTCGAGTGCCAGCCGCACCTCCAGCGTCGCCGCCGTCGCCTCCGCAGCCGCAATGATCTTGGCTGGCCCTCGCCGCATCATGCACTTTGCCCGTGTCGTCGGCCACTCACTGGTGGTCGCGACAGCGAGGAGCATCGCGTGCAGGTCGCACACGCAAGGGTGTACCGCTGCATCGCTGTAGCCCGTGTGGTGCGCGAGCTCATTTGTCCAAGGTTCCTCGCAGTGCGTCAACACGCGCGCGAGGCAAACGGCGGCGGCGGCGATTGTCGAGGGCAGAGCCGAGAGCATCTTGTACTCTCCCAGCGTGAGCTCGGCGAGGTAGCCCGAGATGTGCCCCGCGTCGCTGCGCGGCGCAACGCCGGCGACCTTGCAGAACTGGCTCAGGAAGACGAGAGAGGAGGGCGTGGTCAGCTTGAACTCGAGCGACGTGAGCATGAACCGCTCAGTCACGCGTATCTGTTTGGCCGAGAACTCGCCGCGCGTAAGCCGGGCGAACTCGCTGCAGCAGGGCTCGTACTCCACCTCCTCGTACTTTGCCGCGATCATGAGGGCTGCGACGCCGACCAGCTGCAGTTGTGGGTGAAGCACCCGCTTCCGCTCGAGGAAACGGTCGATCAGGTTCACCGTCAGGTGGAGCGTTTCGTCTTCGAACTTGTAAGCGTAGCACGCGTGCACGAGCCAGTCAACCAGGAGGAAGCGCATCTTTGCCGTGATGTTGGGCTGTCGTGCCAGGTAAGCTGTGTCAGCAACGCGGTTGACGCCTTCTGTTTCTCTGTAGTGGCGGTGGATCTCCTCGAGGTACGGCACGAGCGAGTCGTTCACGTCGGCGGCACGGGCCTTGCTCGGAGCTGGCGCCGCGTCGTGAGCCGCGGCGAGGGCTGTCTGGAGGGTGCAACCCTGGACTGCGGCCGCGCTGTGCCGAGAGTGGCGTGCGCCCGCGTTGAGGGTGTTGGGCTGCAGCACACCCAAGCGCTCCAACGCCGCAGGGTCGCGGCGAGCGGGAGGCGTCGCCAGCAGGGCCGGCGGTGGCTCGCGGCTGACGGTTCGAAGGGTGCAGAAGATGCTGTGGCCGCGATTTCCCGCGAACCTCAGCGCGATGCCCTCCTTCCCGTGCCGCATCCGAATCGGGCCTGTCACCTCGCCGACCTCGCCGTGCATCACGAGGGCTTCGCTCGGGCCGATGTAGTAGAGATGGCTGCCGAGACGAAGGTCGCCAGGCAGCGGCGGCGGTGGCACTCGGCTCAGCTCGGTGACCAGGACGTTGACGGCACGTTGGTTGCCGGAAAAGGCGACGGCGAGCCTCTTGCCCTGGCACTGACTGACCACCTCGCCTCGCGCGCCGTGGACGACGCTGTCGCCGTCGTGGAAGGTGTAGGTTTCGCCGAGGAAGCTGACCCAGCAACCAACGTCGAGCTCCATATCGACGCGCAGCGCGCCAGGCGCCGCAGCCTTGCCCGCAGATCGGCCCGCAGGAGTGCGCTTCTTAGCTCCCGATGTGTGAGATCTGTGATCTGTGAGCGTCCGCCCGCAGGCGCATTTTGTATACCGAGGCGGTGCCCGGTGCCGAGCCTGTCGGACCTTAAGACAGCATTGTAGATCCCTGGGCGAGGGTGGTGGAGAGGGCGGTCCGTCGGCGCCAAACCACCTCCCCCCGAGGTGGGCAGGTTCCACGCGTTCCCGGACCGTCCCGTTGGAGGTAGGCCGCTCGTCTAGCCAATCAGCCTTAAGCGAGCGGTCTGGCCGTTGGAATGGCCGAGAAAGGGAGGACGACTGTCTCTGACGGCGAACCTCAGTTACGAGCCGGCCTCCCCTCGAGACGCGAGGCCAGTGCACTTGGGGCCGAGCCCCAGCGTACACCGTCCCACGCGCCTCACGCGGCCTCTGGCTGGAACGGGATCGCAAGCGAGTCCCCCCCAGGCCGGCGCGCGTCTTCCGGGAGAGGAGCGGGAGCGAGGGACCTCCTTAGTAAGCCGGCATGCAGGCGCATGCACGGCCGTTCAGAAACTTTCCCAGCCGTTGGAATGGCTGCGCTCCCGCCCCTCACGCCGGGTGGACAAGCGGGGGGGAGGTCAATGACCTGCCTAGTAAGCCGACATGCCAGGCATGCCGACCTTTCGGAGCCCCCCCTCGTAGACGTGTGCCGCTGGGATCATTCCAGTACGCCCGAGGGCGACGGTCCCCCGGTAGTAGACGTTGGCGCCGAAGAGGGAGGAGTCGCCGAAGGACGGGTAGTCGTCGGTCATGCGGGGGAAGGAGGAGTCGGCGAGCAGCAGGGAGGAGAAATGCCTGAGAGGGTGGGGAGGGAGGCGTGAGGCGCGAGGTGAGGGGGCGCGGGGCGCAGGGCGTGCGTGGGACGCGAGGCGTGAGGTGCAGGGCGTTGGGCGGGAGGGCGCGGGGCGCTCGAGGTTGGGGCAGGGTGTGTTTTGTGTGTGTATGTGTGTGTGTATGTGTGTGTGTGTGTGGGTGTGTGTTTGTTTGTGCGAGGGCAGGGCAGGGCAGGGCAGGGCGGCGGCGAGCGGCGAGCGGCGTCGGCGAGATCGGCGACGAAGAGAGGCGATGGTGACGTACACGGCGGCAGTGTCACGGCAGCAGCGCCGGTGGCGGCCCCGCGCAGCGGCGGCGGCGCCCTGAGTGAGGCAGGCTGCCCTGCACAGCCTGCTGGGAACGCTCCCGACGAGCGGCGAGCCATGCGGGCCCGCCGCGGGCGACGCGGGCGGCGAGCCGACACGCGTGTCGCAGGCGTAGACAGCACTGGCGAAGCGAGGCGGCCGGCGCCGGCCCCGGAGGCGGCTGCAGTAAGAGCAGCGAGGCAGAAGTCACTGTCCAAGGCGTACTGAGCAGGCTGCCATCGAGCAGCGCGCCATGCGGGCCTGCCGCCGGCGACGAGATTGGAGAGCCGACAGGCATCGAAGAGGTAGGTACTGAGGAGGGCCATCGCGCCCGAGGCGGTCCGCGCCGGCCCTGCAGGCCGTCTCAGAGAGCCTGGCGAGGCTGTACAGAATGCCAAGAGCATACTGAGCAGGCTGCCGTCGAGCGACGAGCCATGCTGGCTCGTCGCAGGCGATGAGGTCGAGGAGCCGATCGGAGCGTCGCAGAGGCTGCCGACCACTGCCGTTCGCCCTCGGGCCCAGGGGTGGAAGGCAAGCTTCCTGGCGTTTCTGGCGAGCGTCCAGACGTCGCAGAGCATCCGGCAGGCGCGCAGCGACCCAAATTTTTGCTCACCGCACGGCCGTGCGAGCCGTCGGTCGGTGGTGATGGTCGCCGTCGGCGCGCGCCGCCCAACGCGGCGGCGGTGGGCGTCATGTGGCGGGCGTCGGAATGAGCATTGTGCGCCGAATTTCGGACGTCTCCTCGCAGCCTTGCCCGCAGATCGGCCCGCAGAGTGCGCTTCTTAGCTCCCACCCGGCCCTGGATGTGTGTCATGACTCATGTGAGGCTAGAGACTAGTGTAGTATAACAGGAAGCACATGGGTAAAGTGGGTTGAGGCGGGCTAGTACTGTACTGACTGCACTCCAAGTGCTCCCGGACAGACCCAGGGGCTTCTCCCACCCCTCGCTTGTCGTGTCCGTTATATTTATTATAGACCCAGGGGGCGGCAGGGTCCAGAGGGACACGCGCCGCCGCTGCGAGCCCGGCTGGGAGAGCCGCCGCTCCACGACCCCGCAGAGCCGCTGTGAGCCGCCGCGCCACAACCCAACCCACACCGCCTCCGCGATGCGGCTTAGACGCGACGAATACCACCTTTGCTCCCCCAAGAGACGCTGCAGGCGCCCGGGCCCTTGCTCTCTCGGGCCGCCGTGGCGCGGATCTCCTCACGCCTGGGCGGCGTTGCGCAGGTACGCCTCAATCTTGTCCGGGTCCTTGACGCCGTCCGTCTCGATGCCGCTGGAGACGTCGACGCACCACGGCCCGACCTGCCGCACCGCCGCGCCCACGTTGTCCGGCGTCAGCCCTCCGGCGAGGATGAAGGGCGTCCGCCGCTGCACCTCCTCGCCAATCGACCAGTCAAACGTCTTGCCCGTGCCGCCGCCCTTGGAGTCGAGGAGGACGGCGGCGGCGAGCCCGCCCTGGATCTGGGAGCAGACCTGCTCGGCGGTGAGCGCCGGGCCCATGTGCACCACTCGGACCGCCGGCCGCGCCAGCTCCGCCGCCACCGCCCACCCTTCGTTGCCGTGCAGCTGGACGAGGTCAAGCCCGGCGGCCTGAGGGGCGGGGGCGGTGGGAGTGGCTCGCGGACAGAGGCTCGGGCGGGGGCGAGGGCGAAGGAGGCGGAGGGAGGGGCGACCACCTCGGCGGCGGCGTTCATCTCGTCCGCGCTCGCGTCGACAAACACCCCCACGACCAGCGGGCCCGCCTGCGCGCAGGCGCGCCGCAGCAGGCCGCTCCAGCCCTGCAGCCACTGCCTGGTCTCGCGCGCCTCGTCCGCGCCCTGGTCCGGCGCCGGCGCGGCGCGCTGCGGGAAGCGGGGCAGCGCCCACCCCTTCGGCCGCGGCCGCGCCTCGCGCACCGCCGCCACGATGGCCGCCGCCTCGCCGACGCTCACCTGCCGCTTGGACGGCGCGAGAATCACGCCGATGAGGTCGGCGCCGGCCTTGGCGGCGGCGGCGGCGGTCTCGGCGTCGCGCACGCCGCAGACCTTGCAGAGCGCGCGCGGCGGCGGCAGGCCGAGCAGCTCCCGCGCCAGCCCCGCCGGCGAGTCGGCGCGCATCAGAGACTCGCCAACGAGGACGCCGCACGCGCCGACGTCAGCGAGGGCGGTGACGTCGGAGCGAGTCGCAACGCCGGAGAGGGCAAGGAGGCGCACGCTCGAGCCTGCGGGGCGGGCGGACGACCCGCGCGTGAGGCGGCCGGCGCACCTCTCGCTCGCTCTCTCTTCCGCCGGCCGCGCGGCTCTTCTCACCGCTCGGCACGAGCGCAGCGCAGCGGGAGGTGGTCGTCATGTCCACCTCGAAGGTGTGGAGGTTGCGGTTGTTGACGCCGATCACCCGCGCGCCCGCGTCGAGCGCCACCCGCATCTCGCCCTCGTTGGCCGCCTCGACCAGGGGCTCCATGCCGAGGCTGCGAGAGAAGGCCATGAGCGACGACAGCTCTGCGGCCGAGAGCGCGGCGACGATGAGGAGCGCGGTGTCGGCGCCGTGCGCGCGCGCCTCGAGCAGCTGGTACTCGTCGACGATGAAGTCCTTGCGCAGCACGCACACCTCCTCGCCCAGCCCGCCCGCGACGAGCGCCGCGCGCACGCGAGCGAGGTCGTCGAGCGAGCCCTTGAACCACGACGGCTCGGTGAGCACAGAGATGGTGCAGGCGCCAGCGAGCGCGTAGGTGAGGCCCTGCTGCGCCGCGTCGGTGTGCGGCGCGATGTCGCCCTTGCTCGGGCTCGCGCGCTTCATCTCTGCAAGCAGCGCCATCGGGCCGCTCTTGCTGAGCACAGCCGCAAAGTCGTTCGGCGGAGCCGCCGCGGCGACGCGGGCGCGCAGCGCCTCGGCGGCCACCCGCGTCTTGGCCTCGGCGACGTCGAGCCGCCGCTGCTTGACGATCATCTCTAGCTTGCTCATTGCTTGCGACGCGAGGCAACCACTCCGTCGGCCCCGTAGGCGCGGTTAGTGGTAGCGGTAGGGGACCCGCGGGTGTGAAGCGGTAGCGGTAATCCGGCCCGCGGGCGGCGGAGGTAGCGGTAACAGGGACGGCCAGCAGCCCTCGGCTGGCTGTCCGTTCCTAGTAGCCCCGACGGTTACAGACGGCCGGCGAGCCTTCGGCCCCCGTGAGCGTCGGCCTCTTGCCGTCAGCGCTTCGCTCGCTCCGCTCGCTGCTGGACCCTACCGTCCGCGGTGCGTGAGCAAATGCCGAGCGGCCGCGGGTCGCCGTCGGGCGGGTCGCAACGTCACGACGGCCGCAGCCGCAGCCGCAGCCGCAGCCGTGATTCGCGGTATGATCGGCGGGGTGATCGGCGCGATGATGGGCGCGATGAGGGACGCGGCGGCCGACGCGGCGGGCGATACGACGACCGGCGGCAGCGCAGCCGCAGCTCATCGCGTGGCCGGCGCAGCGACCGGCACAACGACCGGCAGCATCACAGCCGCAGCTCCAGCCAAGAGCGTCGCCGGCGGCGGCATCGGCGCAACCGGAGCCGGAGCCGGAGCCTGAGCCCCGCGAGGCGTGGCTACGAGCGAGAAGAAGGCGCAGTTGATGATCCACCTCGTGCCGGGTAAGGCAATGACCTCGGCCCGGTTTTGTGGGAAGCCTGGGGTCGCTGCGCCCGAGTTGCACAATTCCGGGAGCATCCCGCCCGTGCGTTGCTTGATTCCCGAGCGGCACAATGGCGGCACGTGGACGCTCAGATCGCTCACGGCGTTCGCAGTCAGCAAGCTCGCGTTGACGACCGGCTTCTCCTCCGACGGCACGCGAATCATGTGTGCGAAGGGTGTGCACTGCGTTCGGGCAAGGCGGCTCAAGAGGAGCGACGGCTACTCGCTTGGCATGCCGTCGCTGCGACTCAATCCTGTGTGCAATCGAACTCGAAGAGACGGGCGAGAACGACGGGCACGAGAGCAAGCCTCTCCCAATATTGCGCCTGGCTGACGAGACGCTCCTCCGGCTGCGGGGACTGCAGCAGGAAGCCACTGATCAGACCGCCGAGGCGCAGCTCGCACGTGAGGCGGAGCAGCTGCGACGGGTTGAGGAGGAGCGCGCTGTGCGGCGCGGCGCAGAGGCGGCACGTGCAGCCGACACGTCGAGCACGGGTCGCAAGCGCACGATTTCGGGCTATCAGGCTGAGTTGCAAGCGCAGCGCAGCCGCCGCGGCTAAGTCTCAGACTCGATCTCGGACCGCAGATCGCTTTCTTTTACTCTCCGGGTTGATTGTTTTCTCTTTTAAAGGGCCTTCGAGGCTTCATACACCAGTTATCCGTCATGCACTCTGCTTTTTTATTCTTTTTCTTTTTTCGGCCCAGGAATATTCTATTTTTTCCTCGCAAACGTGAAGTCGACTAGGCCGGCTGCAGCTATAAGTGACTGAGTGAGTGGGGTCTAGCGGTAGCGGTAAACAGCGGGCGGCCTCTGGCGGTAGCGGTAAAGGCGCAGCGAGGTGTGAACGGTAGCGGTAGTCCTGAATCGCTCTACCGCGCCTACGGGGCCGAACTCCGCACCAATGCGCGACAGCCACAACCGATATCTGGGTTTTGCTCCACACGACGGATGGGCTGTTTACATAGCCGCAGCCACTCCCTGCTCGGTGTGAACAGAGTTCGTACACTGCTCCGCAACTCGAGATCCCTCGAGAGTTCACGCGGAGTCGGCTGGGGCTATACCAGACAGACGGATGGGCGTGTCGCAAGCTGCCCTTTTCAGTGTCGCATGTATGTTACTTCCTGTCGTCTGTGGTGTTGTTGTGCCCTTGTTTGTGTCCTTGGCACCGTGGGTGCTGGGGGGGCGACAGGGAGGATGTGGCCCTGAGTTATGTATGTGTACGCCAACTCAGGCAGGGTGTGTGGCAGGCAGCCAGCTGGCTGTGTGTGTGTGTGACTGGTGAGCCTGTTTGTGTCTGTGTGTCGCTCGTGCGTGCCGTCATCATCTGTCCAGCGTCCACCCATACCGCGTTGGTGTCCAGTCCGAGCCTGGCTGTTCTTCACCTTCCTACATACATACATCAGTGTCGTGTCTTGTGGTTCTGTTCCTGTCGCTCCTTGTGTGTGACCGTCACCGCCCGTCCTGCTGTGTTTCGCCTTCGACACATACTCGAGCACATACTCCCAGAGAGGTAGGTAGGTGGAGCTTGTTTGGGAGAGAGAGAGAGAGAGAGTTGCTTGCGTGGTTGGCCCAAAAGGGCCCTGCAATTTGCAGGTCGCCATTTTCCGCGGCAGGCCCTGGGGATAGGTACTGAGGGAGGGTGTAGAGGATGTAGAGTGTAGAGCGCTGTGTAGAGCTGAAGATATGTAGAGCGCTCCCTGGAGCGCTGTAGAGCTATACATCCGCCGCGGGCCGATCTGAGTCCGATGTAGAGCGATGTAGAGCGCGATTTTGCTGTAGAGTTGGTTGTAGAGGCTCTACAGCCAAACCGCCGGGAAGGCAGTGACTCAAAGAGGTCGAGCCGCGCTTAATGGGGTGTCTCCGAGCTTGCTGGAGCTCTGATGGACGGCCCTGACTATCCCTGACACACAGAGAGTCACTCTGACGGCACACAACACCCTATAACTGCGTCATGACCAGCCTGCCATGTGTCGCCGGTGCCGCATTCATCGCTGTGCTTCTTTAGCAGGCGGTGGACTGTCGGCTGCGAGGACGGTCGCATTTGCGCGAGGCGAGGCGAGCATTGCTGCGCGTTGCATGCGCCATGACTCGCGCCAGCGCGCGTGCGGGAGCTCCTGGCTGAGCGTTGAGTCCAGGCGAGTCCGAGGCGCCGGCCAGTCGCAGCCGTGAGGCATGCCATAGCAGCAGAGGCACCTGCCACCCATTGGGCGGGCAGACAGAAGGCCAGCGCAGCACTGGCAAGTGCAACGCGCCTCATGTCGGAGAGGGACCGTGCCTCGTTCGCCGCTTATGTGTGTCTTGAGCACTTGAGCACTGGATAGGGTCGATTCCGCATGTTACGGGACCCCTCGATCGTCTCGTCCTCCCTCTCTGGTGTGTTCATTGGGGGGGGGTCATAACAAACACGGTACAGGATCGAGGTGCACGCTGCTGAGGCAGTGTCGTCCCCCCTCTCCCCGACGGCGATGTGGCGGTGACGTGTGACCGATCGAGCTACAAGAGGAACTTGTTCAGCAGGATCCGAGTTACCGGTGCACTACCTCGATGGCCTGCCGATTCTTCGCTGCAACCTTCATGAGCTGCAGCACGCTTTGCGGCGGCGCGGCGGGAGGAGCCGTCGTACGACTTGAGGCAAACCTCGCGGCGCGAGATCGAGTCCTGCGCGTAGAAGACCGCCGGTTTAACGACGGAGTGGAGCGTCTCGGCGAGCTCCTCCTCCTCCCACCCGTCGCTGCGCGCCGCCGCTCGACCGAGCGGCATGATGCCCTCCGTGTCGTGCGCCTACGGCCGTCGGGTGGGAGGTGCTTTATCTAAGGGCGTAGACCTTACTTTATCATGAGGCGGTGCCTGATCGGGTCATCTCGGATGGTCAGGCCAGTCTCGCGGGACTGATTGTGTCGCGCAGCAGCGTTCCGCGCACCGCAAAGATGCCCCCGCCCAGAGTCTTTATTCGTGGTTTTCTTTTTCTGACTACGTTGTCAAAAAAGAAATTTCCGACAAAACTCAAGGTGTACCTGTGTTAGTGCCAGTGCGCGCCAGTCCCTTCCCAGTGGTGGTGCAAAAAAGAAATCTGCGGTCCGGCGTCGACTGACACCGCTCCGCTCTGGCAAGCATTGAGCTGAGGACTTCATGAACAAGCAGCCCGCCGCTCGAAGACACTCTGCCCGCATCGCATCGCGCGTCCCTGCGCCTGCTCCCGGGCCTGCCGCCGCTGCCGCCGCCGCTGCGGCGGCAAAGCGCAGCCAGCTTCCGCCCGCCGCGAGCTCGCGCTCAAAGAGCTTGCTGCATCGGCTGCTCGACCGGCAAATTGACGCGCGAGCCATCCGCTCCTTTGAGAAGCGCAGCGTGCAGCAGCGCTTCTCGAATTTCAACGAGCGGGTCAAGTGCGACCTCTTTGCGCCCCCGAGCGGGAGTGAGCAGACGCCGCACGGCGTCGAGCACCTGCGCGAGCGGCGGACTTGCGTGCTCGAGCTCGTCGTGGCGGGCGGCCTCATCTTTGGGCTCGCCGACTCGGGCATCTGCTGCGGCTTTGACATGGACAGTGGCCGGCGAGTCGTGACGCTGAACGCATCGTCGCAAGAGGCGCGGGCGGGGCAGCGGCGTACCGCGCCTCGGCCTGCCCGCCCACACGCGCGGACGTCGGTCGCGTAGGTGATCCGCTCCTTGTTTCACAACAAGTCGAACAGCACGCTCATCATCGTCTCTGTCTGGGCGGCCGACGAGTACTCCTCGCTCCGCTGCCGCGCCTGCTCCCTGGAGGACCTCGCCTCGGGCAGCGCGGCGCGCCGCCCCTCGCACCACCTCCGCCCCCCTCTCCACCCTCCACACCGCGGGCCGACGCCGACCCGACGCTCCTCCGCCCCGCCTCCTCCGCCCTGCCTCCGGCACCCTCCCCCCCCCCCCCCCCTTCTCCCTCCACCTCCACCTCCTCCCGCCGCTAGCCGCAGGGTCGGTCCGACAAGCTCTTCGAGTCCGAGTCGCTCAAACACCCAGGCTTCGTCGAGTTCGACGACGTCAACCAGAAGGTGCTCACCTTTTGCTCCCTCCGCGCGAGATACAAGGTGAGCCCAGCCCAGCCCCGCCCCGCCCGCCCTCCGCCTCACCGCGCATCGCGCCGCGGCGGCCCTTCGTGCCGCCGCCGCGAGCCCGTCTTGCATCGCCGCCCTGGCTCCGTCGCCGCCCTGGCTCCACCGCCGCCCTCGCTGCGCCGCCGCAGGTCTGGTCCATGCTCGACCCGAAGCGAGTGATGTTCGACCTAGCGGACCGGGACATCGAGGAGATCAAAATCTCGCCGGGCATCATGCTGCTGGTGCTCAAGCGCGGCGGGGGCGACCTCGGCGCCCACCAGCCCCTGCGCATCCTCTCCATCGAGACGGGGGAGGCGCGACCGCCCTAGCGCCCAGATTGCACTCGCGCACCCCCTCTCCCCCCCCGGCGCCCGCTCCTTTGACCACGCCTCGGCACCTCGCTTACGGGCTCCCGACCCCTCCCCCCGCGCGAACCCATCGCCCCCGCCCCCACACCGCCCGCAGGTGCTGCGAGACTTCAAACAGCTGGTGAAGCGAGGTGTCAAGATCGTCGTCATCGAGCAGTTCAACCAAAAGCTGCTGCTGCAGCAGGCGCACGCGAGCCTCTGCGCGCCGCCCGACCCGCGGGACACGTCCACGACACGTCCCGCGACACGCGCCGCAGGAGGGGGAGCCGCTGCTCATCATCGACCTGCTGTCGAACGAGACCGTCACCGTGCCGCAGGAGCGCTTCCAGACGCCGTTCGCCTTCATCTTTTTGTACGAGCACCAGTGCTTCCTCTCCTTTCGCGACTCTGAGGTGCTGCTCTGGAACTTCCGTGGCGAGAAGGTGACGACGTTCGCGGACCACAAGCTGTGGTTCCCCGCCGCGGTGCACGACCACACCTCCATCATCTTCATCACGCAGACGCAGGACGTCATCATCTCCCTCTGCAACAACGGCCTGCTGCCAAACGGGATACACGACGTCAAGATCCACGTCTCTCACATCTCGACCGGCGCGCTCCACCGCGCCGCTCGGCGCGGGTGGGAGCGGAGGGCAGAGCTGTGGGCCCCTCCTCTGTAGGCGAGTGCCTCGCCAAGGTGAACTGGCACGACCGCAATAACCAGTGCGTCACCGCGATCAGCTACAACGAGGTGCGCGGCGAGCTGGTGGTCGGCGACGAGATCGGCTGCATATGGATCTGGTCAGCATGAGACGGGAGGGGCCGGGGTGGCGGGCGTCGGTACGCCGAGTACAGTGTGGTAGCATGGATGTCGCAGCCGGCGAGGCCAAGCGTTCGGCTGGGAGAGACCGGGGCCCGGTTTTGTATTTTGGGCTCGGGGTGTGTGTGTCGTCTGTGTATCTTTATCTCTCTTCCGTGTGATTCGCTGAGACTGTGCGCTGCGTGTGGTCAGTTTATATGGCACCGGCCCCCTGTGTTTTCGTGTTTCTGCTATACTGAATTTTTACTACTGAAAGAAAAGAAAAATTCGCGCCCGGTGACAACACCACACGGTGGTCGGTGAGAAACTGAGATTATGTGAGATGTGACATCCACAGAGAGTTAAAGACAGACGTGTCGGAGTTTTGTGTGTGCTGAGTGCGGCTGTGTAGAGTGTACTGGTCTACTGTGTCGACACACGGTACGGCTCTAGCCTCTACCCGGCCGATGACCGGATGAGGTTGAGGATGTGACTTGGTGACAAGACACACTGACCCAGCTGACAACATGACACTAGGACCCCTCGCGGGTACCGCGGGCGGCAGCGTCGTCGGCGGCGTAGGGAATTGCTCGCCGGGGTGATCGAGGTGGAAGTGACGGTGAGGGCGACGAGGGATTTCCCAACGGGCAGCGCGAGCAGCGGAGGCTCGTAGGACCGTAGCCTTCGAGTGACCTGCAAGTGAGTTGCGTCCGAGCACTTCCGTAGAGGATGTCGCGGCAGTTGAGATCTGGACAAACCATGAGGTTCGCCTCATCGTTCCGATAGGACCCTTGATTGTAATCAGGATCCCACCTGTAGATTAAGTCGTGGCACGCATTTCTCGACGTCGCTCGGGCACACTCGCACGGCGGCGGCAATGGTGGAAGAGGTGGAACAGGTGGCGGCAGCGCCGCCGGGCAGCTTATACACCGGAGAGAAGCAGAGCCGTAGCCTCGATCACTGCACGTTAACCGACTCCCGTCCGAGCCGTAGATTGGGCGACAGATGTAATCCTGGCAAATCATGATGTTGTTCGCTCTATTTAGGTACGCTCCATCATTGTACTCAAAAAGCAAGTCGTGGCAGCTTCGCACCAAGGACCTCGACTCGGCGCAAGGACAAGTCTCATGTGACTCTGGCGGGGGGGCCAACCTTCCCCGCTCTGGTGACGACGGAATGGGCGCTGGCGGTGGGGAGGAGGGGGTTGACGGTAGTGGCGGCGGCGATGGCGGCGGCGGCAATGGCGAGGCACTTGGGGGCGACGGTGAAGGTGACGGTGAAGGTGACGGCGGTGGCAGCGGCAATGGCGGCGGCGGCGGCGGCGGCGGCTGTGGTGGCGGTGGGGATGGCTTTGGCGACGGAGGTGGTGGCGGCTTTGGGGATGGCAGCGGCGGCGGCGGCGGCGGCGGCGGTGGCAATGGCGAGGCGCTTGGGGGCGGCGACGGTGAAGTTGACGGCGGTGGCAGCGGCGATGGCGGCGGCGGCGGCGGCGGCGGCTGTGGTGGCGGCGGGGATGGCTGTGGCAATGGAGGTGGCGGCGGCAGTGGGGATGGCGGCGGCAGCGGCGGCGGCGGCGGCTGTGGTGGCGGCGAGGATGGCTGTGGCGATGGAGGTGGCGGTGGAGGTGGCGGTGGAGGTGATGGTGGCGGCAGTGGCGGTGGCGGCGGTGGTGGTGGCGGTGGTGGCAATGGCGAGGCGCTTGGGGGCGGCGATGGTGATGGTGACGGCGGTGGCAGCGGCGATGGCGGTGGCGGCGATGGCGGCGGCTTTGGCGGTGGTGAAGATGGCGGAGGAGCTGGGGACGGCGGCGGCAGTGGCGAGTCGCTTGGGGGTGGGGACGGTGTAGGTGATGGCGGCGGTGGCGGCGGTGGCGATGGTTGCGGCGATGGTGGTGGCGGTGGTAGTGGTGAGGGACTCGGAGGGGCTGATGGTGCTGAGGACGGTGGCGGTGGCGGCGATGGAGGCGGCGGTGGCGAAGGCGGCGGCGGCGGCGGCGGTGTCAGCGGCGGTGTCAGCGGCGGTGATCGTGGCGGTGGAAGCGGTGGAGGCGGTGGAGGCGGTGGAGGTGATGGAGGCGGTGGCGGCGGTGGTGGTGGCGGTGGTGGCAATGGCGAGGCGCTTGGGGGCGGCGACGGTGATGGTGACGGCGGCGGCGGCGGTGGTAGCGGCGGCGGCGGCGGTGGCGGCGGCGGCGGCGGCGGTGGCGAAGATGGCGGAGGAGCCGGGGACGGCGGCGGCAGTGGCGAGTCGCTTGGGGGTGGGGACGGTGTAGGTGATGGCGGCGGCGGCGGCGGTGGCGATGGTTGCGGCGATGGTGGTGGCGGTGGCAGCGGTGAGGGGCTCGGAGGGGCTGATGGTGCTGAGGACGGTGGCGGTGGCGGCGACGGAGGCGTCGGCGTTGGAGGTGGCGATGAAGATGGCCGCGGCGGTGACAGTGGAGGCGGCGGCTGCGGCGGCTGTGGCGGTGGCGGTGGCGGCAACGGTGGCGGTGCTTGCGGAGGCAGCGGTGATGGTGTCGTCGTCGTCGTCGTCGTCGGCGTCGGCGTCGGCGTCGGCGGCGGCGGCGGCGGCAGTGGCGAGATCATCTGTGGGGTTGATGGTAAGGATGGTGGTGGCGCCGGCGACGACGATGGCGGTGATGGTGGAAGTGGCGGCGGCAAATGCGGCGAAGGTTCTGCTGATGGCGTTGACGACGGTAGTGACTGTGGAGGCGGCGGCGGCGGCGGCGATCTAGGCGATTGTGGTGACGGGCCTGGTGGTGCGACGAGAACAATAACTGTGGTGGGTGGCACATCGAACCCGACCGTAGTTCCCAGCTCCTCGCTCATGCTGGCCAGGAAGCTAGGTTGCAAGGCAGAGGCCGTGATATCATCGGCGGACGGGCCTACTGCGGCCTGAACGATCGTCACCAGCACTGTATTGTCGCCAAGGTCTTCCAGAGTGATCTGTTCGGCCGTTATATTGGCACCCGAGCCGGCAAAGGACGCGATCAACGCAGCCTCGATGGCATCCAACCCGATTGCGTCGAGTGCACGCCGCCGAAGCCTGCCGCCGCCAACGTCGAGCGAGAACGAGGTGGCGGCGACTTGGACTGCTCCCGGCGACAAAGGCGGTGGGGATGAGGGCGGGGGGCAGGGCGCCTCCTCCGAGAGGAACCGCCCCGCTACTCCCGCCGACGACCCTCGCTCGCCCAACATTGTCGATGCCTCAGAGGCGTCCAATACCGAGGACCCAGACCCTTTATCGGGGCCGTCAGAAACGCCGCTGAAGCGCGAGAAGGCGAACTCAGTCGCGTACGGCGAAGCCATTTCGTACATTGTTGCATTGCCCTCGATCGCGCCCTCTGCCATGGCACTGGTGATGAACTCGCCGTCCTGTGGGTAGCTATCGACGTGGCCGTGCCTCGGCTCGTTGGACGAGAAGCTCTGGCCAATGATGCCATGCGGCATGACACGGGCGGCACTGCCACGAGCATGGAAACGGAAACTCACATCAATGCGGTGCCTAGGTCCTGAGACCCAGTCATAGACGTGGTTGCCCCGCACAGTGATGACCCAGCTGCGCCAGGAGAATTGAGCGCTAGAGAAGCTCATCTTGATAACCAGGTCGAAACACCGCTTGAAGCCTCCTCTGCCGAACTTGAAGCGGCGCTTCCCGCAGGATCCATTGATAACCTGCCAGCCCCAGTTGCCTTCGTTGAGCTCTCGAGCGAAGAAAGAGCTCTCGAGGAGCGTCCTACCCATACGCGCAGTCACGTGTGCTTCCGTAATGAACGAGCCGTGCACAGTCAGCCTGCCTTCTCGCAAAGAGAAGACAGCATCCTCTGTTTTGACGTTGACCGAGAGACCAGGCGCGGAGAGAAAATTGTAAAGAGTACCTATGTCAGAAAGTCAGTCATGTGACCAGCCGAAGCGCTCGTGTCTATTCAGTTGTTTCTCCTCACCGTTGCGTCCACGGAAGTCGGCTCGTCCGCCGTGCGCAAAGGACAGATGCGGGTCACGGAATACTCTCGACGAAAGTGGACACTGTGTGACGAGCGGCAACAAGAGGTGAAACATCCCCTGTCTGTGTTGCTGGCGTGCCTGCGCGTGCGTGTGCGCGTGCGGATGTGCGTGCGTACAGGTCGCAGCTGTGATCGATCAAGTGCGCCCAAAACGGCGCGTTGACCCCGGGGGCGAGTAAACAATTTGCATAAACTTACCAGGAAGCACCTAACACTAAGGGTGGCCCGCCACAACGACCCCTGGAATTGCGACTCGCCGCTTTCCTCCCGCTGTGATCCTGTGTGAGCTCTGTGTCTTGGTTTGCCAACAACATACCGACACCTAACACTAAAGAAACCACATTGCGGAGCTTCCATGTCGGCACCCCGACACATACTCGTATGCCGATCCTCGACGACGCCGGTTTTGGCGACATCGACGCCCTCCGACTGAAACTCCAGGGGATGCTGCGATCCGCGGCGTCGGTCGTCAACAGCGACGCTGCTCAGTGCTCTCCCGAGAAGTGCTCGCCCGACATGCCGCCAGCAGCAGCGTCGACCAGCACGTTTGAGAGCTGTGGGCTCACGCTGCGCAGCCAGCTGGTTATGGGAGGCGCGCGGGTCTGGCCGGCGGCGGTCGCTCTCGCGGAACTCCTGCGCGAGAGGCCGAGCCTCTGTCGCGGCGCGAGGGTGATTGAGCTCGGGGCGGGAGCTGGCGCTCCCGGCCTCGTGTGCGCAGACCTTGGCGCGTCCTTTGTCCTCCTCACCGACGGCGACGCTGACCTCTTGCCTCTTCTCGCGGCTAACGCCGCGAGAAACGGCTTTGCTGCCAAAACGAGATGTGCCTGCTTCGACTGGCGCGACGCGCGGCAGTTGGCACGGATCGCCGGCGGAGAGACGGAGGACGCGACTTCCGACGCGGCGGACGGGACCGGGTCGGCAGGCTGCCTCGAGCGAGGGCGAGCCGCCGCGTCCTTCGCCTTCGCGCCGCTCGTTGGTCCGGCAGGATTGGGCGAGGAGAGCAGCGAAGGAGGCGCGGGAGCAGGCGACTTTGACCTCGTGCTCGCCGCAGACGTCACCTTCTCGTTTGGCGACGTGCGGCCTCTCGCGCGAGCCGCGGCGTCGCTGCTCCGTCGGGCGGAGGGAAGTGGCGACAGGAGCGCGGCTTGAGGCCCCGGCGTGGCTACCCGCCCGCCTCTCACGCGTGGCAATGTCCCGCCCCTACCACGCAGGAGGCTGCTGCTCGCACGCTCCGGCCTGTTCGAAGAGCTCGAGCCGACGCTCCTCGCGGCGATGCAAGAGGAGGGGCTCGAGCTGCTCTCGCGGAGAGAGGGGAGCCAGGCCAACGCGACGGCGAGACCCGGATGGAGCAACCTGTCGCCCGCTGGGAAATGTTGCACCGACGGCTTGGTGCCGATGATAGGTGCTCGAGCTTGGCTGGCGATAGCTACGTGAAGTACTGCGACCTGGGCGACTCAATCACAACGGTGCTGTCGCGCGGCGGTGTCCTGGACCTCTGCATGCACATGTTGTGCATTTGCATGCACATGCATACATGCATGTCCATGCATCCAACCCGACGGCCCACGACCGGTCGGTCGGCGTCTGGTCCCCCGGCGTTTGTCTCGAGTATTTTGCGATTCGGTGTGGCAGCGGCAAGCGGCATGTGAGTTTTTTACGTACGGCTCGTACCGTCGGTACCACATGGACATGGCCGGTACGCCGCGGCGTAACCCGTAAGCCATCTGCTCCAGGTGTTTTTTGCATTTTGGACTGCGTTTTCGGTTTTGCTCATGGAGCAAGTGGCTAAAAGCCACCTGCATTTTGTGCAAAAAGCTGCAAAGGACTCGTGGAGGCACGTGGCGCTTTCCGCGTGTGTCTCGTGCAAAATCCGGCATTTTGTGGCTTTCAGGTGGCACGACGCGAGTCAGGTGGTGTCTGGTGTGGAGCCTCTGTCACACCACCCCTACCTGGGGACATCTATGTACTATGAGTGACCCCTAGTGTTCGCTGTTCGCTCGTACCCGATAGTGACACGTACATGTAACGGACTATTCGATGCGGAAGCAGTCGGCTTAGGCGAACAGGCGAGGTACTTGGTGAGGTGCCATACAGAGAGAATTATCGACCGGAAGGTCTCTGCAGTCTGGAGCCGCGTGCACCGCGTTCACACAACTTAGAACTCGAGGCGGGCTACCCCCTCCTATTCCTGTTCGAGCTCAGCAAAAATCATGGGGTCTTCCCTCGCGAGCTGCTCCTGGTAAAACTCGCCCGTCTCGAACGGCACCACTATCAGCAGCGACTTGCCTGCGAGGGTGATGGAAGGCGTTGGGTCTCCACCGGGCGGGCAGGACTGGCGCTCGGCTGGCGGCTCGCACCCGTCTTCTGCGCCTCGAGGTACTTCTCCTTCGCCTCCCCCTTGAGGTCGGGGATGACGCGCACCAGCGCCTCGCACACCTGCAGTCACAGAAGGGCAGACGTGGCTCGTGAGCTGGCGGCGCTTGCCGGTGCTGGGGCACCGGCCACGAGCTCGCGCACCGGCTCCTCCTCGTAATCCTCGTCGCCGAGGAGGATCACCTTGTGCATCGGCACCTCCTCCGTGTTTTTCATGAGCTTGGGCTTGGCCACGATAGCTGCCGGCCCGGACCCGCCCTTGCCGCTCCCGCCGCCGTCCGTCACCTGTCGTGTCTTGGTCTTGGCGGGAGCGGGCGCCAGCTGCATCGTCGCGGCGGCAGCGCGCTGCGCGCCGCAAAGCGGCGCCACGCCTACCCGGAGCGCATCCACGCCCGAGAGCAGCAGCACGAGCGCTGTCCAGATCGTGCCTCTCATGGATGCCTAAGCGTGAATTCACTAGCTAGGCTCGCAATAATCGCCTTTTTAGCCCGATCTTACAGCTTATTCGAATGTCTTCTTACGTTGCTTCGTGAGCGATTCAGCCGTCATTTACCCTCCTTTCACCCGCCCTTCACCCGCTCTTCCCCCGCCTTTCAGTCAGCCGCCATTCAAGACACATTTACACAACATTGAACCGCGTTTCACAAACAAACATGTTTTCCGCTCTTCGGCGACACGCTTTGCCTTGAAGTTACCGCACCTACGCTAAATTCAAGCCCCTTCAAGCCAATTTAGCCTCTCTCCCTCAAGGCCCTCCAATTTATGGGCAGGCAGGAACACTGGTCACTGCGGCGGCTGCTAAGTAAGCACCCGCACCGCCCAGTGAGATGCGTGTCGCGGGCTAGGATAAGGACCATGATCTGTCTCCCACAGATCCCACATTTCATGATGAGGGAATCAATGCCGATGAGCAAGGGCTCAGTCCCGGCCATGTGTCCCTCGCCGCGCGCCTTGGCACGAAACGCAACCTGGATGCCAATCTGGGGTCTTTCGACCGAGTCTGATTTCGCCTCGCCGCCTCCCGATGGTGGTAAGGCTGGAGAGCCAAACTTCGCCCCAACTGCGAAACGATTGCGATTGGAGAGAGGTTTTTGTTTTGCGATTGGCGTTGGCCTGAAGGACTTGCCCCGTTGCTGAATCTCGTCGATGCACACACACCTTTCGCTGCGAAATATAATTGGGAGCTCAAACCTATCATCATGGTTGCAACTGAAAAAGACCTGAGCCCTCCCCCTACTCTAATTTGTGTCGAGCCTGTCTGCTGTGACACTCAGTTGTTTTGTTTACATTTACAAATGTAATTTGTGTTTCGGAAACGGCACGCCGCCGGATTTGCCGCGATTTCCGGCCTGCCTTTGCTTAGACATGGATGCGGCTGGTACTGAACTCGGAGAAGATCTCGTCGACGCGATCTGCCGAGGCGACGAGGGAGCCGTGCGGGCGTGGCTCGACGGCAACGGCCGTGTCAACTCGACGTTGGGCGGTGGAACCGCGCTGATGTTCGCAGCCTCCCACGGCCACGAGCGGCTGGTCAATATCCTGGTGCAAGCTGGCGCAAATATCACCCATCAGGACACCGATGGCGACACCGCGCTGATGTCTGCCGCCGACAACGGCCACGAGAAGGTGGCCGACCTGCTGATTCGGCACGGCGCGGATGCGGACCAGCAGAATTGCTGCGGCGGCACCGCGTTGATGATCGCCGCCCAGCACAGCCATCTCGCCGTGGTGCGCCGCTTGCTGCAGGCGGGGGCAGACACGCAGAAACTCGACTCGGAGGGTAGGTCTGTGATGCAACTGGCCGCGGGGCCAACGCTGACGGCGGTGATGGAGGCAGAGACAGACGCCCGGCTGGCCGAGTTGGAGACGCTAGAAGCCACGTGCTCTAGCAGCGAAGCTTCATGGCTAGTGGAATTGCGGGTCAAGCTCGCGCATATGAGAGAGAGACTCTCTTCGCATATGAAGCTGCAGCAGGAGGAGCATACAAAGCAGATGGCTCACTTCGCGGAAAGAAAGGCTATCCTTGACGCTGAAAAGCAGCAGATGGAGAAGAAGATGGCGGACCTCAACGCGCACATTGATGTGCTAAAGGAGGCGAGCACGCCCCGTCGCAACGGCAGTGGAACTGTCGAGCGGCTCCGGCGGCGGCAGCAGCGCAACTCGCAGGCGGAGGCTGGCCACAGCTCGCCACGGGCCTCCGGCGGAGCCTCCGAGGCCGATGGCTTAGCGGCAGAGGCGGCGGCGGCGGCGGAGGCGGCGGCAGCGGCCGCCGCCGCCTCCTTGCTCGCTGAGGAGGAAGCTGCGCAGTGGATCAAGAGCAAGAAGATGCAGCGGAAGGGCAAGGTCGGCAAGGGCAGCCCCAGGCCGGCGGTGCAGGAGGCGCAGGGTGCGGACGCATCTCAAGAGTGCGCGCTAGCGGGCCAGGTGGAAGCGCCGCGTGCGCCAGAGACGGAGTCAGTGCACGGTGGCATCCCCTTCTCGCAGCTCCTCAAGCTGCTCGAGCGCGTGGCGCGGTGCGAGGAGGAGATTGGGACCGGGCCTGCCGCCGACGGGGCGGATTTGAAAAAGCGCGTCGACTCGCTGGAGGCCATCCTCGGCGTGGCGAGCGAGGGCAGCATCGTGGAGCGGCTCGGCGCCATCGAGGGCCTGATTGGGAGCGAGGCCACGCTGGAGGCAGCGCCGGTGGCAGCGGCGGCGCCAGCCGATTGGCTGGCGGTGGAGGAAGCGCGCGAGGAGGCGGAGCGGGCTGCGCGTGCCGAGGCGGCAGCAGAGGCGGCAAGGGTTCAAGCGATGGAGCGCGCCGGTGCCTGCCTAGCCGAGGAGCTGATAGCGAGGGTCGTTTCGGACGCCGCGAAAGATCTTGCGGCGGCGGCAGTGGAGCGGCGCACGTTGGCGGCGGAGGCTGCGAGGCAAGAGGTGGAAGAGGCGTCGCGACGAGAGGCCGAGGCGCAGGCGCGGCGCGAGGCGGCAGCGGAGGACAGGAAGTGGCGTGAGCTAGAGGCGACGGCCAAGGCGGAGGCGGCGGCGGCGGCAGCGGCGGCGGCGGCGGCGGCTGGGCTTGTGGCGCCCGCGCTTGCGTCGGCGGTGTTGGAGGCGAGGGCGGAGGCCGAGAAGACGCGGCTAGCCGAGAGGGCGCCGCTAGCGCCCAAGACGCCCGAGCCGCGAGAGGACGGACGCAAAAAGAGGTGGGAGGCCGAGAGGGCGCGGCTAGCGGCCATCGAGGCTGCCAAGACGCCCGAAGAGAGAGCTGCAGAGTCGTCGTCGTCGTCGTCGGCGGCGGCGGCGGCGGCGGCTGGGCGTGTGGCGCCTGCGCTGGCGTCGGCGGTATTGCAAACGAGGGCGGAGGCCGTGAAGGCGCGACTAGCCACGGTGGCGGCGCTGAATGCGGTGGCGCAAGAAGCAAATGATTGGGAGGTAGCGCTGGCTCAGATGGCATTGTCGGCCTCGCGCAGACAGGCACGGACAAGCCGCACCGCCTTCGTGGCGCGTCTCATAGAGCAGCTGGACCTCTTTTCCCGCTCGTGGCTCGCTCAATCCGCCAACATGAGCGGCCCCTCTCTCTTCGTCGCTAACAACGCCTCGCTCGTTGTCCCTTTCGGCAGCTCCGCGTCGCTTCTCAGCGGCCCCGCCTCGGATGTGGACCTCGCGGTGCTCCTCGAGCTGCCGATGGAGGAGCAGCGCCGCTTCGTCGAGGCCCTCGCCCAGCAGCCCTTCGCGAGTCCCTTCAGTGCGATGGTGGCTACGCCGGTCCCGCTTGCGCGCGTCCCGATCTGCAACCTCCGCGACCCTGTGTCCGGGCTTGCTGTGGACGTGTCGGCCGGCAATGCCATCGCGATTGACAACACATTGCTGATTCGGACGTACATGGAGCTGGACGAGCAAGGCCGACAGCTCTGCGTGCTGGTAAAGGCGTGGGCAAAGGCGAGGCGGATCTCCTCGACGCGAAACAACACGCCATCGAGCTACGCGTGGGTGCGACGCCCCCGCCCCCCCGCGTGCGGCCGCCTCAAGCATCGCACTTATAGGGCTGCCACTGTCCCCGCGGTCGCCAGGTCCTGCTCGCCATCTGCCACCTGCAGAGCTGTCAGCCTCCCGTGTTGCCTTGCCTCCAGTCGCCCGAGTATGCCGCAGCCGCGGCGACGCTCGCCCGCGTCGATGGCATGGCCGGCACCTGCTGGGTCGAGAACACCACACTGACGCACGACGGGCACTGCGTAAGCTACGCCTTTTGTGGCAGCGCCGCCGCCGCACGGACCATGTGGAGGCCGGGGGCGGCGGTGACTCTCGCCGGCGGCGGAAAGAGGCTCGCCGAGCTGCTCCGCGGATTCTTTGTCTCCGCAGCACAACTGGCGAACGGCGCCCTCGCCGCCACCGCCCTCGCCGCCACCGCCCTCGCCGCCACCGCCCTCGCCGCCACCGCCCTCGCCACCCTCACTCGCACGGCGGGCGCTCGTCGCATATCTCGCCATACCTCCCCACATCTCCCCACATCTCCCCACATCTCCCCACATCTCCCCACATCTCCCCACATCTCGCCAGGTCCGCCGACGGCAGCCGCCTCGCCTCGGCCTCTTCCGATGGCTCGGTGCGCGTGTGGGACGCTAAGAGCTGCGACTGCCTCCACTCGTTCCGCCCGCCCGCACCCACCGGCGAACTCGCGGCCGCCGTCCAGGCGCTCTCTCTGCGCGCTGTCTTGACGCGCCCTGCGGTGGAGCACAGGCGCCGAGCTCGCCGTCAACAGCGCCACGTTCTTGCCAAACTCGTCCGACGCGCTGCTCGTCTGCAACCGCTCTGCCGAGGCGTTTGTGACGTCGCTCTCGGGAGACATCACCACGCGCCTCGCGTCGGGCGAGCCCGCCGTCGTTTCTTTCTGGGGTCGCACGGGGGCGGAGCGCTCAGTCACGACTTCGGCTGTGAGGTAGGCAAGCGGGAGGGCGGCGACTTCATTGCTTCGATGGTGACAGCGCAGGGCGGGTGCGCGCACTCCGGTGAGCGCGCTGCCGGCCGCGCCTCTAGAGCGGAGCCTCGACCTCGTGAGCAGGTGGGTGCACGCCGTGGCTGAGGACGGTTTCCTCTACTCCTTCGACCTCGGAAAGGGCGAGCTCGGCCACTTGCTCAAGGCGCGAGCGTTGCCCGAGATGCAGCCGAGAAGCAGCCGAGATCTGGTCGAGAGAGCAACGGGCCCGGCGTGAGCCTCCCCTTGGCAAGAGAGGTTCGCCCTTCGGCCAAGGTCTGCCCGAGGCCATGTCGAGAGATGTGGCCCAGATCTAGCCGCGAGCCCACCCGAGGACTAGTCGAGAGGGCACACCGCCGCTGCCGCTGCCGCTGCCACCACCACCACACCACCACCACCACCACCAAGCCGCCGCCGCGACCGCACCGCCGCCGCCGCCGCCGCCGCCGCCACCACCACCACCCACCAAGCCGTCACCGCCGCTACCACACGAACCAACACCACCACACCATCACCAGTCGAGCTCGCCCCCGCCGGGTCGTCCGCAGGCGCACGAAAAGGACGTGATCGGCGTGGTCTCCCATCCGCACCGCAACCTCGTCGCCACGTGGTCCGACGACGGCACTCTCCGCCTCTGGCGGGCGTCGGCCCATGGCGACTGACGCCCCCGGCCGGCGCAGCGTGGGGGGGACCGGGCCCGCCGCTTTGTCTAGGCTCTAGCCACCGCGCTCGCGATTTGCGCGGGGGCCGTACAATGCTCAGGGTATCTACGTAAGCTCTGGGAAATCCACTCTGGGCCTCTGCAGATTGTTGCAACTGAGAACTGTAGTACTCACGAAACACAGCTGGCGTGTGAGCCGCCCCGCAAGTTTGCCAAAAGTTATACGGACCGGTACTGGCGCACTAACGGCAAACTGACTGGGCGTGGCGGAGACCGGAGTCGCGGAGTCCCCGGAGGGAGAGCGGAGAGAGGCGAGGCCGAGGGCGATCGCCTCAGCTCTCTGAGTCTGACAGCGGTCCTCAGTCGCGTCCCACGCGTGCCGACATCAATCATCATGTGGACATCGCGATTCGCGAGGAGTCTGAGCATGGTCTTACTTGTCTCGCTTGGCGACGGCGAGGACCTTGAACAGGGATGTATGAGCAATGGTTTTAATATAGGCCCCAGCTCCACACATGTATGCGCCCCCCACACAAAGCCATGCCCCCCCCCCCCCCCTCATCATTTCTCGACATACGCACAACGGAGCTCAACGGCTCAACGCACCCTGCCAAGGTACGACGCACCCCCGCCAAGGAGGTCCCCGTTCCCCAAAGGAAGTCCTCCACCTCACGGCTTGAGGAATTTGATGGCGGCGGCCGCAGCCGCCGCCCCCGCCCCGGCACATGCGGCCATTTTGTAGAGCTGCGCGCGGTGCGCCGCTTCCTTATCGTAGAGGCAGCCTGTTGGGTGATTCACATGCCACTCGACCGCAGGCGAGACCTGGTTGTGAAGCAGGGGATGCGAGAAGGCTCCTTGACCCCCTTCTCAAGGACGCGGAGGAGCGCGTCGCCCGTGGACGGATTGCTCGCGTGCATGATGTTGTGCAAGTCTGCCATGCGGATCAAGGCGAGCACCTAATGGTTGGTCAAGGGGGTCGAGTCTATGTGCCAAAGCAGGACGAAGGTTGCCGAGGGGCGGGGAGGAGAATGGATGTCGAGAGCGTCATTGAAGTGCCGTCGTGTCGCAGTCATTTCTCTACGTTGAGGAGCGAGGCAAAAACGCTCAAGCGAGCGCACGTCGTGGATGTGCGGGTGCGGGTCGAGCGGATCCGTAAAGAAGATCATGCCGCCCAAGTCGTCGACACACATCAGCGCGCCCACCTCAGCGTCGCCTATGTATGAAAACGAGTGGACATCCAAGAGACATGACATGCGGGCCCGAATTCACACTCACAAGTGTCGCCTCCAAGGGGGCCACCATACCCCTGGCCCACGACTGGCTCGACGACCTCGTCGATGCGAAGGAGGCCCTGCGCCCCTTCTCCGTCGCCGGCTCGCGGTACAGCGGGTACAAGTGGAAGCCTCTGCACGATCACATCAAGCGCCCGCTCTTGAACCACCTCAACGGCAACTCGCGTACAATCTGTCCGCTCCTCTCCTGCGGTCGGTGCTGGACTCCTTCAACGTCAATGAGTGGGAGACGGTCCTCCACTCGTCCTTCGACGTCCAGATCGCGGAGGTGGTGTACGACATTGGTTATGGCGCGATCGATGCCGCCGAACGCCAGAGCAGGCGGAGCAAAGCTTTGACTACAAGCAAACCGCGACCATGAGCAAGTGAGCAACCACGCGGCGAGCATCGTGGTGGCGCAGGACATCTGCGATGAGTGCCGCTTCAAGCACGGCGCGAAGTACATGCGCGACTGGTCCACGCGCTGCTGCGCCGGGGACCCATACGACACGGTCTACCCGAAGCCGTGTATCGCCGAGAGCGAGAGCGCGTCGCTCACGCTCGTCGTCACGGACTTTGGGACGGGCAGCATCGACACGTTCATGGCCAACCTCACTCGGGCCCGTCAGGCCCTCGCCGACGCACAAACCAGCCCCGACACGTGCACTCACCTCGACGCGTGCGCCAGCTACTCGCTCCCCTTCGACGAGATCATCGTGGTCACACCGGAAGCAGAAGTCGCGGAGTACCGCGCAACATATCCGGACGCGAAGGTCACGTTCGTTGCTCGACGCCTTGAGACGGGCCGCGAGTCGCCGTGGTGGAACATCTGCACCACCAACGTCAGCACGGCGTGGTTCATGCAAGTCACCTCCTTCTTCTCCTTCGCGGAAGACTTCCGGCTCCCGGTGCACACCCGCGCCGACGGGGAGCTCGTCCCTCTGAGCCCGTACATCGAGCACGACTCGAGCTACTGCGGGCGAAAGTGTCGCCAGGAGGTCAATGAGGCGCGGCAGTTCATCCACCCGGGCGCGAATCGGCGGTACCTGCAGTCGCACGCAGTCTACAACACCGCCATTCGCGACCAGTACTGCGGCGAGCTGGCGGCGAGATCAACATGTCGGCGTCGGTGCCTGGCCTGACCAGCTACAACCCACTGTAAAGGGCCGCGTCGCCGAGGGAGTGCTGCAGCGCGAAGCCCTCTGCCCGCAAGCCGAGCTCTCCACACACGCCTTGCCCCGTCGCGTCGCCTGTCTGCGAGAGATTATTAGAAGCACAAGAAATCAGCACTCACAGTGCCTTTGGGCTCGGCGCTTGTCCCTTGGGTTGTCTGTTTTCTTTCTTTCTTTCGGCGCTTGTCGACATTCTTCCTGTCTGTAAAGTTGCACGGCATATGCCGTCGGCACGCTCGAGGTCAGACTCCTCCGTCGCATAGATAGGGAGGGGGAGGATATACTCTCCTGTTTGTGTGTTTATAATCTTGTGTTGAGTTATTTTCATTGTCGCGCCAGTCCCGTCCCAGTGTCGTGAGGGAAAAATTCTTTTCATTGTCCACATTTCCGGACCCTCCTGGCGCCGCGTGTGGGGGAGGGGGGGGGGGGACCAGCCCTGTTGATGTTGGCGAGAGCAGCGTCGTTCGCTTCGTCGGTCGGGTCTCGTCGCTGCGGCTCGTCGCTGCGGCGCCGCTCGCGCCGGTGGTTACAGGCTCGGCACACATATATGCCGCGACGGGCCACTCTCCTCGGCGCCGCTCGGGTCGCCGTCGCCGCGACGCTGTTCGTCGCCGCCCTCTACAGCATCACCTCTGGCCGGCCCAGCCCACGTCCAGCTCTGACAGCCGCCAATACGTGGACCACACGGCCGAGGTCGGTCTTCTTTGCTCCCTCTGCTCTCCCGCCACCGCCACCACCCGCACTGCTCGGAGACCGGATGGTCAGTCAGACTGCTCCGCTCAGCGTCGGCGATGGCCCTTCTCTGCGAGCACGGCGCCGCGAGCGGCGAAAGCTGCTGCCCGTGCGGCCGAGATCAGACCTGGTGGCGACGGCCTCGACGTCGGTGTGGCACGCTCTCGGAGACTCGCTCGCGTTTGTCCACGTGCTATGCTCGCGCTTCAGCATTGGCCAGGGCCGCCAGTCCGCGCTGGTTGCGGCGAGGCTCGCGCTCTTCGTGTCCATTTGCGCACCCTCCATCCGGGCGCAGACGGACGGCCGGTTTGTCTGGCTGCTGTACGTGGACGAGTCGCTGCTGCCCGCCGACCGGACGGCGCTGGAGGAGGCGGTGCGGGGCATCGCAGGCGCGCACATCGTCGCGCTGCCAAAGGACGGCGAGCACGCCGCTGCCTACGAGGCTCCTTGCCTCCGCCAGATCTCGCTCGCCGGCCTGCCGACTGACCCTCCCTCTGCGCTGTCGGGCGCGCACCGGCGGCTTCCCGGCGCGGACAGGAGGGAGAGGGGAGGCCAGCGAGAGTTCGAGCGCGCCTCGCCCACCGCACGTAGGCGGCGCGTCTACCTGACGTCCAGACTCGACGCCGACGACGCCCTCGACTCCAGCTTTTTCGCAGCGGTGCACGGGCGCGTCGCTTCGGCGGCGGCGGGCGGCGGCGGCGACGGCGGCGGTGCCGACGGCTTCCCGCTGTACCTCTGCCACTTGCACGCGCTGGCGTGGCTGCCGAGCACGACCGCCGGCAGTGGCGTCGTGTCGACCGAGGCCGCCTCCCCGCCTGCAGTCGACTCGTTCCCCGGCAGGAGGCTGGCTCGTCGACTTGTCTGCAGCTCGACGTCTGTAGGATGCGATCGCCTCGTGGCACTGCCTCACGCCCGGCCTCACAAAGGCAAGCTTCTCGAGGCGCGAGCCCGCGCGCCGATGCGAAAGCCCGCCTGCCGCATCCCCCCTCCCACTCGTCCCTCCCCCCTCGCCCTGCCCGCCTGCCTCCACCGCCTCCACCGCCTACCCGCCTCCCCCAGCCTCCCTCCCCGCCCCACACGCCTCCCCCGCCGCCCTCCCAGCGGCACGCCTCGCCCCCGCAGGGAGGCGCGGTCGGTGCACGCGGTCTCGCACACCGAGGTGCGCAAGGGCAGCCGCCGCGTCGCCCTCCTCGACTCTGGCGAGCGGTGGAGCGGGCCTGTGCGAGCGCGCACCGTCACCTCGGACGGGCTCAAGGGGGTGCGGTCCGCGCGAGAGACCGCGGTCGGCGGCGGAGGGGAGGGGAAGCGCGCGGGCGCGCCGGCACGCGACGCGGACGATGGCACGGTGCCGTGGGCGGCGCGCTACGGCATCTCGCCCGCGGAGCTGCGGCGAGCCAACGAGGAGCTGACCCGGCTCGAGGCGAGGGTGGCGGAGGAGCGCGTCTCGCCGGACGGCAACGACTGCGTCGCCGACTTTTCGTGCGCGCTGCACCTCGGCAAGAAGGCGCCCGCTCGCCTCGCCCGCCTGACGAAGCTGGCCAAGGGCAAGCTCAAGAAGGGCCGGTCGAGTCGGAGAGAGAGTTCTCTATCGAGTCGTCGGCCCTCGCGCCGCCGCGGCGAGCCCGGCTCCGCGCACGACTCGGCCGAGCTGCGGCGGCATAGGTCTAGAGACTGAGAGAGAGAGATTTTTAGCAATACCAAACAACTCTAACACTCACACGTTTGTTGAGACTGAGGAGAGACGAGAGTCGACAGTCGAGAGTCGTACAATCATCAATTTTTTGGAGCACTTGCAGCACTTGGAGCACTCGAAGTGCAGTTAGCAGCCCTCACATCCAAAGCGCACCCAGGTCGGATGATGTGTGCTCCCGAATTCTTTTTCGAAGGCATCATGTTGTCTACTCGACGTCTTCTGCCGCTTCGCAGCAGCGCTGAATCTGCGCGCCGCTGCTGCGCGGGTCGTTCCGGCGGGCGAGTGCTGGCGGAGCCGGGCGTGGCGGACGAAGAGGCGCAGTGGGGGCCTCGGGTCGCGATCAAGCTGCTAGTGGCTGGCTGGGTCGGCTTGAAGCTTGGCGAGTACTTTCTCTCCAAGGACGCACTGATGGTCAGCTCGACGGTGGTGCTCCTCAAGAGCGAGCACGCCGCCAACCGCGCCTCTGGCCTATATCGCATGGAGCGGTGGCACCGGTCAAGCGGCGCGCGTGAGGCGGCAGTCGAGCTCGGGTGCATCGAGCACATGCTGCGCGGTGCGCTGGCCACGGCTGCGGCTGACCCCGCCAGCTCGAACGTCGCCCTGGGCCTCCTCGTTGAGCTGGCCGGTAGCGTGGACGCTGCACCGGAGCAGATTGTGCGGCTCGGCGGGGTGACGGCGGCACAACAGGTGTGCGGCGCGATGCCAGCAGGCGGCGAGGCCACTAGCCGCTGCCGCGAGCTCGCAGAGCAGCTAGAGCGCGCGCTCTCAGGCACACCATGCGTGCCGACGCCACCGCCGCTGCCGCCACCCGAACACCGGCGAGCGGGGCCTGCGTATGCCCTCCCTCGCTTCGGAGAGGTGGGTGAGTCAACCGTGGGAAGCGGCAGTGGAGGTGGGTCCTCGCACTGAACAAAGAAGTCGCCTCTTTTTCCCACGGCAAACACAAATGCGCATTACACTGTCCTACATCACTGCATCCGCGCTGCAGCGCTGGTTGTGTCGGCGCGCGCAGTAACAATCGTGTGAACCTGACGGCTGACGCTGGCTTGGGTCCTGTGACCACGCCGGGCTCAGGTGAGAATCCTCTTGGGCTGCCGCTGGACCCCAGCTCTAGGCAGTTGGTTGTGTGAGCGGAAAGGGCAAAAGTTTGCTAACGATACCATGCACCTACTCCGCACGTCTGCTTGAGCGCTGCCTCTTCGCAGGCGCGTTCCCATCGTTTTCGGGGCTCGTTTGAGCACTTGTTGCACCGCTCGTGCAAAACAATGGTAGGAGGGCCGGGATCGTGGGGATGGGCCCTTGCGCAAAGCTGGGGATCAAAAGTAGAGCAGGGCTCTGATCCTCATTCTCTTGGGTCTTCGGGTCGGTCTGAAGCTCGGGTTCGAAATGTTGAGCAGTCATCTGAGCACATTTCGGCGGGGCAGCACCCATGAGTGAGAGACGGGCAAGGCTTGGCACAACCAAGATACGTCACTTGAGTGTGGGTTCAGCTAACTTCGTAGGACACGAGGGGCGGCGCGAGCACCTTCGCCCGCGTGCAGCAGCCCCGGCGACGAGAGATAATGTCTGGCGAGTCAACCCGAGATGCTGGGCGAGCCTTGGCGAGCAGCGTTCAGCTGTTCCCACAGCAGGCTGGAAGTACCTCGCCAGCCGTTACACACCGCCGCGAGATCGTTGCTGCCATGCTGCGCTTACGCAAGATCCCAAAGATACAAGGAATCCACCCGGCTTCTTGCGCGCTAGTCTCGCTATGCGGAGATGTGAATGAAGTGAGCCAGTGCCACATGAGAGAGGTCCCCTGCGCCCTGGCCTGGAAGTGTCGTGTAGAGAAGAAAAAAGATGGCGCGCGCGCGAGAGAGAGGTTGCACAATGTGTGACAGCCCCTTGGCTCTGCGTCCTTGGAGTTAGATGACATATGACAGAAACACTTGCAGAGTGTTAGCGTACATATTGGCGAGATGTGTAAGATGTTAGTGCAGCAGCCACTCGTCGAGGGGATTCTCCAGTCGGGCCTTCCTATGAGGCTGAGACCTGGTGTCGTCGGGTGTGAGGCGCATGACGCACGTTGTGACGCCATACGTAGACAGCGTTGGCTCGTCTGCCTCGAGCCTCTCGCCCGTCGTGCGGTCGTACATCTTCCAAGAGCCCCTCCCTTCTGCGGCGGCCCTCTTTGCCGCGGCAGAGTACGCCGCGGCAAACGCGTCGCAGAGGACCAGCGCGAGGTCCTTGCCCGGGCACGCGCGTGCGTGCTTCCACGCCTCGTCGCCCGGCCGGCTCGCAAAGTCCGCAAAGCCGATGATCTTCTCCGCGTACTCTGCGAGCGGACGCAGCTTGAAGGTGAGCGAGTCAGCGCCCCAAGCCTCTGGGTCGACCTGCGCGGACATGAGGTCGAGGATGATGGTCTTGCCGCTGCGCGTGTGGTACGCGAAGCCGCCGACCGGGTTCCACCTTCGAATCGTCTCCCATACGTACTGCCGCCGCAGGGTGGGGTCCGACTCGAGGGCCAGCAGCTGCTCGCCGCCGAGGGTCTCGAGGGGCAGGTTGCGCTGCCCCCATGCGAGGTGCGGCAGCTGCACGAGCATCGGGATGACTGTCACCACGGACTTGCCGCCGGCGAAGAGGTTGGCGTCGAATACTGTCGAGGCGAGCTGTGTGAGCCGATCCTCATCGAGCGCCTCGTCCGGAAGCCTCGGGCGCAGCGCCTCGCGGTACTTTGCGATGATCTCCGCCTTGGTCTGGAGCGTCGGCTTGTAGTCGAAGATCGAGATCGGCAGGCAGCGGACGCAGCCCACCAGGCAGCTCGGGAAGGGGTCGAGGAACGCGTTTGTCGCCATGGAGGCGAACAGGCCAAAGATCTGCTTAGGACGACCCCGGCTAGTCGCCGACCACACCCACAAAGAACCCTGCACAAAGATCGCAAGGGCGGGGGCCTGTTCCTTTTTACCCATCTCACAGTAGAGAGGTGTCCGTTTTTATTTATTTATTTACTTCTTTGTTTCCTTCTTTTTGCTAGTGCGCGCCTGTCCCCGTGTTGAAAGAAAGAAAGAAAGAAAACAGCAACTAGGAAGGGAGGTGTAAAAAGGAAAGAAAGAAAGACACAAGCGAGGGATGCGGATGGGAGGACGGCACGCCCCCACCACACAGGGATTTTAAGGAGAGGGGTGTGTTGCTAGCTTGCTAGCCGTCGCCCACCCTTGGGCGTCTGCCTCTTCCTAGTACCTATATGTTAGAGAGAGAGTTTGTCTCTTCCTATCTCTCTTAAAGAAAGAAAGAAAGAAAATAAATTCAACGGAGGGACCTATCTAAAGAAACAAAGAAAACAGAAAGGGAACAAGAAAGAAAGAAAACCGAGGAATTCTTTGCTGCGGGCGCGCTAGTACCTACATATAGAGAGAGTTTGTCTCGTGCATCTCTCTTAAAGAAAGAAAGAAAGAAATAAATTCAAGAAAGAAAAGTAACAAGAAAGAATTCTTGAGATACAAGCCTCTCTCACAGCACACTGGCACGACAAGGGCGCGGACTGGCGCGCACTGGCACACACACAGGCTCACCAGAAAACCCAAGCCGCGCGACGAACCCCTCTACCGGCGCGCTTGCCGCTCAGCAGAATCCTACCTCCACTGCTGCATATTAGCAAGTTTTGAGTGCTGCATCTCCGTCATGAAGACGATGCTGCCCAGCGTAGTCGCCATCGCGCTTCTGCCGCCGCGATCGCATCAGTGGCGCAGTGTCGCATCGGTGGCGGCGTCGCGATCGGGCACCCTGCAATGTGCAGAGGAGGCGCGAATCGCCGAGGCGGCTAGCCCAGTCGTTGCCCGCCCGAGCATCACGGGCGCGGAGTACTCGCGCGGCCTCGCCACCGTCAGCTTTGTCACCCTTCTCTTTGCCTCCAACTCACCGGTGCTCCGCTCCGCCTTCACCTCGGTCGAGCACGTGCCGCCGCCTCTGCTCGTCAATGCCGTCGCGAGTGGGACGGCGCTCAGCGGCCTGATCGTGGGTGCGCCGCTGCTGCGGGGCGTGCCGGCACCCGCGTCGATCGAGGCGAGTGCGACGAGCGAGTTGAACAGGGAGTCGCTACGCGCCGGGGCGGAGCTCGGCCTCGTCAAGTGCGTCGGCACGAGCTTCAACCTGTACGGCCTGTCGCTCACCTCCGCCGACCACGGCGCGTTCCTGATACAGCTCACGACCCTCCTCGTCCCGGTCGCGCAAGCCTTCCAGGGCGTCCCCATACCGCCGCGGATTTGGGCCGCCGTCGGCACCGCGCTGGTCGGCCTGGCTATCTTCACGGCCGACCCCTCCGACGCGGCCGCCTCCCTCTCTGGCGACGCCTCGTGCGTCGCGGCCGCGCTCTGCTACGCGCTGTACGACCTCCGCCTCTTTGTGTGGGGCAAGCGCGTCACTCCTCTTCGACTGATCCAAAACAAGGTGGCGGCGCAGGCGGCGCTGGCGGTGACGGCGGTGCCGCTGCTGGCATATGCGGACGCGCGCCAGTTTGTCGAGAGCGTCACGCCGAGCGATCTGGTGGCTCTCGCGCCCCTCGTGCTCTGGAGCGGCATCGTCGTCAACGGCGTGGCGCCCTTCCTGCAGGTGGGCGGCCAGCAGGCGGTCGGGCCGGCGAGAGCGCAGGTCGTGTACGCGTCTGGCCCTCTGTGGGCGGCCCTCCTCTCGCTTGCCGTGCTGGGCGAGACCATCGGGCCGCAGGGCCTGCTCGGAGGCGCCGCGTTCCTGGCCGCGGTGCTCCTCGCCGCGGGCACGCCCGCTCCCGACCCGGCGTGCGAGGAGGAGGTGTGTGAGGTGTGATGAGATATATTTGCGATTGAGTGTGTGGTGTTTCCGGTTCCCTCGCTCTGTGGTACAGGTTGCAGTAAACTTGTTTCTCGCAGCCGTAGAGTACACACACCTGTGAGAGGGCGGTGTCGGCGTGTGTTCGCGCTGCGCAGGGCCGACATTCCTGGATAAAGCAGACACCAGACCTCGGTTTCCCATAGGGTTTCTGCTGCGGTTTCCCATCGCGGTTTCCCATAGCCGAAAACCCAGGGGTCGGTCGGTTTCTGCCGCGCGCTCTGTTTTTTCTGGGATCTGTTTTCTGGGACACCCGCCTCGATTTCCCGTGGGATCTGCCTGTGGGTCTGGTTTCTGCGGTGTGAAGACATCTCCCGCTTCGTCCTAATGAGCTCATTCCGGCCAATGAACAGGTGTACCCCCGTCCGAACCCGGGGGTATCGAGCACGAAATCACAGAGAGAAAGAACAGTGACGGGATATGTTATCTGGGATCTGCTTTTTCGGTCCCCGATGGCGAGCTGGCTCGACGATCTCGGTCTCAACGAGCTCGAACACATCAAGGATGGCGCAAGTGCCTTCGCGCAGGAGCCCCACCCAATCAACTCGGCGGAGGATTTCATCAGCTTCGTGGTTGCGCTCAACCTCTACCCACCTGGGACGCCCTTACGCGCTGAGCGTATTGCTGGGGAGATGCCGGCAGGCCTCTCCGCTCCTGCGGTGCGGTATCTGCTAAGCAAGCTGCCCATTGTCGATCGGCTTGCCTCCCAGCTTCGCGACGACCCGAGCCGCAAGACCGTTCGGCTCGTGCCGGACGTGGAGCACTGCGTGGCGTGTGGCCTCGCTGGGGAGGCGGTACCCCTGGTGGTCAAGCGGGCTGACAAATGCTCATCTCCAACGGTCTATGCGGAGCACGGGCGACTGAAGGGCGAGCTCAATGGCCTCTCCTGCCCTCGGTGCTCCGCGTGGCACAGCATGTCGTACGCTGAGGGCGGCACGCGCATCCCAGCTGGCAAGCAGGTGCCCTACCCAGGGGCGACTGCATCCTCACGCCGCTGGATCCATGTGCAAACAAACGAGGTCCCGGTCAAGGATGAAAAATGTGCGCGCCTCTGCACCGCCCGCGTAGACTTTGATCTCGCTCGACTTGAGCTGCGTCCGAACCTTCTGCTGTCGGACGCGCGGCATGCAGCAGGTTTTGCTGTAGCAAGGGGTCCGCTTGAAGATGCAGCTGGCTAGGCTATT